TATCGTTGAAAATTATAATGAAATAATGGCAAGTGCACGATATAAGTAGTATAAAAGTGGATAAGCGAAACATAGGGGAAATAAACTCAGCAAGTAGTAGAATACGCCATGTGGTCAGACATGCTTCGAAGCTCGATTCAATTCTTGCATTTCCCTTATTATTCCAGTCTTAAAAATGAGGGATCGGTTTTAAAAACTGTGAATTTCAAGAAAAAATTAATTTCCACGATAATAATGCTTCTTAATATCATGTTATATTAAATTAGATCAAAATTATTTTACATTTGGAGCAATTTCCATGGAAAATAATTTTCTAAGCTTGCTATACAATTATATCGTTAAAAATTATAGCAAAATAATGCCAAATATGAGTAGTATAAAAGTAGATAAGAGAAACATAGAGGAAATAGACTCAGCAAGTGGTAGAATACGCCATGTGGTCGGACATGCTTCGAAGCTCGATTCAATTCTTGTATTTTTCCATAACACCCAACAAAAATATTACTCCTATACTTTCGCAAATATTATACAAGCTATTCAAATTTATAAATATATAAAGTATATTCTTTTTCTAAAATAATTCCATCCGGAATTATATTTCTGCACAGTGGGAAACACGTTATAGTAAAACGCGTGCCTTCGAAAATTAATTAAATTCACGTTAATATAAATATAAATAACCACGAAATTACTAAAGAGATTTATATCTCCGCGAGTTAATTATAATTTATTAAACGAGTCTCGCGAATAAATTAAACATACCTGACGTTAATAAAACGAGATCGCAATCGAATTTGTACAAGCAATCTCTGATCTTCAAAGAAACAAAGTAGCATTTCCCATTTCGCTAATTAAGTTCATGAAATTCTCGTTGAAATCCCTTCGATCGAGTCGTGTATTTCACAAAGGTTGACCAACCTGATTTTGAGTACATCAGTTAGTTAATACTACTGTTTAGTCGTGGTTCGCCAATCCGATCATGATCTGCTTGTAATTCCTGACTGTAAATGTTCGATTAGTTCAGCCGAAATAGTCACGTTTCATTGTCGGATTTTACTAACGTGGTTGCATTCTATTGTTTAAACATCAGCCTGCTAGTATTCCCTGTGGCCTCGCGCTTCGACATAACGGCCTGATCGAAATACAAAGTCAGCCATTAACCAAGAAATCTGTGCTCGAATTAAGGACTTAGCAATGCCCGATCTCGTGTAGGTATCTTTATAAACGGCATACTACGTGCTCTAAAAGTATAATTAACTTGAAAAGAGTGTAATACACCCCCAAAAATGTAAGTAGAAGTTCAAAGAATACAAAATTCCAGCATCGTTTATCTGTATCGTGTCATATCACAGTATCGAAGTTTAAGAGCGTGACGCAGGGAAAAAGGCGGGAAAAGAAGAAAGATACGCGTTGACAGGCATATCAGGGAAACCCTTGATAGCGTGAAACATCACGTTTGGGTCTGAGCGAGGGTTAAAGCACGTCGGCCATTAGGAAAATAGCGGATATGAATAATAGGGGTAAGAAAATCGAGAGAGGGTTTCTCATTGACACCAAAGGTGTCTTGCGAGTTGTCAAAGCTATCGTATTCAGAACAAAGTTGTCAAATTACACGAGTCATATCAAATTATATGACACGCCTTCCTCCACTTGCGTCATCAAACAAATCTAGGTCGTCATGTCACTATAAGACAATGACAGTTCCTCTAGTCTGTCAATGTATTTAATATTATATATCTGCAATTTTGATTTGTAACAAAATTTCACATATACAACTCTGATTGCACTTCGAGCAATTTTTAATATTAGTACCAGCAACTCCGAGTCATTTTACCTTTCTTGTTAACTTTTATAGTACGATGTTTACCTGCCAATTAGTATTTAATTTTCATCAGTTCTTCTGCCAAAGGTATACTGGTATATCTATCAGTAAACACATGGTAGTCCTGTGCTTCGGGAATTCTATCTAACAATATTTAATATAAATTCAGCAGAATTCTTGTGCAATAGCGGCGACAACGGAGTGCAAAGGGTTAACCTAGATGGAATAAAATTCGCACATACATTACGCATTTGCAATATCGCAACGCCTATTTCGATATTCACCTCTCTCGAATTTTATTTTCTAGCATCCTAGTAATACCCTAAACGAGTGGTCCTCGACCTGACTTCCTCGCATAGCGTAAAATTAAAACAAATTGGGCTACTATAGCTATTTCAATTTCTATAGATTTTTGACTAAAATTTTCAATTGTATTGACATTTTCGACTAATATCGTGGTGAGCTAATATTTTTGCATAAAGAAAGAGATCAGAATCTATTGGATTGCTATAGCCATTTCAATTCTTATAGGTTTTTAAGTAAAACTTTCAATTGTTTATCTTACAATGTCGCCATAGTGGCGACCACGGAGTGTAAAGGGTTGAAATTTGAAAGGAGTGAATTAACTTTATTATTTATCGTCGACGTTGAATCACCAATTGACATCGTCCAATCAACAAAATTACCGCCTAAAAATTTTCTGAAACGTATACCTAAGCTTTGCAAAATTCTGAAATCGATCTAGAAATTCCTCACGAAGGCAGAATTAAAAGAATACATCTATAATCGGTTGAAATATCGCGAAGAAGAATGGTTCGGTTCCCGTTTAGCTGTGGATGATGGTCGGTGGTGAAATTTTAAACGCAAAACGCGTTCGAATCCCCCGGATATCGCGGTATGGTTAACGCTCGTTGCGATCGAAGGGGAAAACATTTCCGTGGGATTCGGACGGTCGAGGGGATTGCAGGTGAAATGATTCGGCGTTGTTGTATCGGTCGATTCGAGGCCGGAGGATCGTGTACGGACCAGGGTACGGATTACGCTTTTTACGAGGCGCGAAGACGCGATAGCTCGTCCACCGCGAGGAGGAAGAAACGGAAAATGTATTTTCGATTGTGTATCGGCTATCGTATCCCGACGCCGGAGATGTTTTATGCGGCGGATGACTCGCTCTCCATTTGTATTTCACGCGGTTTTTGCGGTCGTAAAGGGATAGAAAGGAAATCGCGTCGAATCGGGGGTTGCTTTGCGCGGGTGGAAAGGAGGGAAAGCGAGAATATTTTCTTCCAATGTATCGTTGATTTTTGAAATGAGCATTTATTAGGGGAAGATTGAATTTCGTTTAAATAGAGGGAATACTTTAAGTATTACAGTATATAAAATTATGTATATAAGATTTAGATTGAATTTCGTTTAAATAGAGAGGATACTTTAATATTACAGTATATATATGTATATAAGATTATATATATAAGATTAAGATTGAATTTCGTTTAAATAGAGAGGATACTTTAGTCTATATATATACTGTAATATATACTGTAAAATTAAAGTATCCTCTCTATTTAAATGAAATTCAATCTTTTAATCTTAATATATATATTAAGATATATATATTAATCTTAATATATCTTAATGTATATAGTTTAAAATAAGGTTGAACAAAGAAAAGGATTGCCTAAACAGTGATGTAGGAATTTTCTTTATTGGCTCATTTTTCCTACAAAATAATTCTATCTCTTCACACACTGACCTGACAACTACGCTGACCAACAACTCAATAACCAACTGACTTGTAACCCCTTATTAACTCCTTAGTAACTGACTATGTCCTCCTGAACGGGTCCTTTTAAAGCTCGTCCAGAAAACAAGTGCTTCCTCGAAGGAGGAGAAACTCCCTCTACCCCAAGGTCAAGGGTGGAAGAGACTTCTCCCTCTAAGGCCCTTCGAAGAGTCATCCTCAGGAGACCCGACCCCACCTCACATGGCTTGGCCCCGACCTCCTGTGGGCCCATCTAACAGCCAGATACTAACGGGTCCTCCAGACCCAAGTTTCAGGCGAGAGGACATTTTACTCTAATAAACGAGCGTCCCTCATTTACCATTCCTACAGTGATATATATACAAAAATATATAGATAAAACTTTATTTTACATTATAAAACTTAAAAATTTTTAAACTATAAAGCTCTAAAAGTTTTAAATTTATTTGAAATTGTAAGACAAGTTAGACTGAACTTACAAGGAGGGTGCAAGTCCTTCGGGTCATTGATTTAGTTGAAACTTTGCAGATATGTAGATTTAGTCATCCAGTTTAAAAAAATGTACCATGATAAGGGCAACTACTTAATACTTTTTGAGATATTTATGATTGAAGCCTATTATTCTTTGTTAGACTTCTTTAATTTAGTAATTCACGCGCAGTGGTATTACTTTTATAATTCCTTATTACAAAGCACGTGTTAGCGGCACAACGGATCTCTGGTCTCTGCGGTTATGGTTGAGAGAGAGAGAGAGAGGGAGAGAGTCAGGAAAAACAAGACACCCAGAATGTCAACCATCCATTAGATGTCACACTTGCACGTGTTAGCGGCACAACGGATCTCTGGTCTCTGCGGTTATGGTTGAGAGAGAGAGAGAGAGAGAGAGAGAGAGAGAGAGAGTCAGGAAAAACAAGACACCCAGAATGTCAACCATCCATTAGATGTCACACCTATGTCTAGATACACAAACTTCCATCACGCAGATAGCGATTTGCAGTTACCATCTTAACCACTTGTGCTGGAAAGACGTGCGACGCACGTCGTAACGCTTTTGTCGCAGAATCGCCAACAACGAGGTATACACGTCGTCGTGCAATTGTCACGGAAACACTGGACCGTTTGGGCACCAGTGTCTGTGAATTTCTTGCCAGCGCAAGTGGTTAACATTCCTAATTAGAGTTTTCTTCCGAATAGTTAGCGATAGTTATCAAGTGGCACTGTGGCCTAATTGCAACATCCGAAAATTGCCGCCAGCGTGGGACAAAAGGACAGATCTCTTTTCCGAGAGCACCTGGTTATGAGAAAGAGAAGATTCGTTCGTACGATTCATAGTTACCTTTCACGAATTTTTCTCATAGTTATCATTCGCCTCATACATTGGCTCGAATCAAACGAAATATTTCAGCGCAGCTGGAAATGGCTTTCTATAATTTTGTTCACCGATACATTTACAAAGCATGGTTCAGTTTTTTACTTTCTTTCTTTCCTTCTTTCTGTTTACACATAGAAGCATGGAGCACGGTGCTGCCTACGGCGGGTGCTGGTGATTACTGGCCGTGGGAATACAGTGAGTCACGCTAATTACTAACCCAAAGGGTCCACGATAATGTGGTCCGGCCTAGGTAGAGGTATCGCTAGTATTGATCAGTAGATCGTAGCTCTCGTTAATGCATTCCGTCCATTGTCGCATTATTCTTGTGCACCTGGACCAGCACCACGTACATTCCCTTATTGATCTCTTTTCGTTAAAACTCGTATTTCACTCGAGCCCAATGACGTATTTTCGTGACACGATTAAGTAACACGACGGCCATTATGACTCCCGGCTTTCGTATTTGTGTCTGGCTCATCTGTGTTCTTCGAAAGAATCCTGGTATTCGGGTGCAATCGATCGTGTCACGAATGTACATGTGTATGTACCTTGAATAGTTAGAGATGCTGATTAACCTCTTCGATGTGTAACATTAAGGTAGACGAAGTTGGTAATTAATTATTACGAATAAATTCCGCTATATTTATTCCACAATGGTCGTGGTTCGAAAATCCAATAATCCAATAACAATTCTCGCTTTATTTATTTTCCTCGACATAGAAAACTTTTCTCGCGAAAAATCACAATGCAAAATCCAGCTAATTTTTACTGCGATTTGGAGAAAATAAATAAACGAATAAACAAAAGTAATATGGCGAAAATAATAGCAGGTATATAACTCAAAAAAATATACAGAGCTATATCTTATGTTCTGAAGGGCAACGAGGGTTTGTCCAATTCCTAATTATTGCAAATAAATTCGCAATATTTATTTAACAATGGTCGTAGTTCGAAAATCCAATAATCCAATAACAATTCTCGCTTTATTTATTTTCCTCGACATAGAAAACTTTTCTCGCGAAAAATCACAATGCAAAATCCAGCTAATTTGTACTGCGATTTGGAGAAAATAAATAAACGAATAAACAAAAGGAATATGGCGAAAATAATAGCAGGTACATAACTCAAAAAAATATACAGAGCTATATCTTATGTCCGGAAGGATAACGAGGGTTTGCCCAATTTCTCCGTGCAATACGTAACAGCCTGCTGCAGCGTTGCAATTACCGTGACCCAGTCGCTGTTACAAGCATTGTGGACAATGATTTAAGGGTGGAACTAAAGTCGATAAATAATGCGAGAAATTTAAAGCAACGCCGACGGAGAGATTAATCGGTAAATTGCTTGCATTCTTTCTAATCTTAGTTTACCATGGAGCGAAGCGCGGAGTAAGATAAATCGCACCCTCGCCAGTCTGATTAATCGATCCTCACCATAGAACGCGGATCCTGCTCGATATAGATTTTGGTTAATGCCTTCTAAGTTATGGTAGTCTGCTCAATTTTCCGCTAAATATCCACGGAGAAAGCAAACGTGATAATTCTCGTTCAACTTTGAACGAGTTCGTTAAACCTCGATTAATGCGTCGCGTAATTTATCGACCGAGGAAAGATCTTGGGATAAATATCAGCTGTAATCATTTCTTCTCCTTTTCTTTTGTTATCCTTGTGTATATACAGGAATAAAGTCCTTTATTATTATCGTATACGTGGAAAAGAAATTATCAAACAATTATATTTTCCGTGTACAAAGATGTGCCAAGATTAGAAATTTTTAAATCACTCATAATATCAAATGGGATGCGAAAATTTGATTTTTAATATATTCAATAACCTTTACTTAGATGTCTTACCTCGCACAATATTTTCGCTATTTTCTCACAACTTTTTCATATATATTTTATCACAAATAATTAAGTGTTTACTGTTCTCGTTGTCAGTAATTAATGCCAAAATTTTTGCAGTAATAAATATCAAAATTTTGGCAGTAATTGATACCACAATTTTGGTCGTAATAAATACCAAAATTTTGTCAGCAATAAATACCAAAAGTTTTACAGTAATAAATATAAAAATTTTGGCAGTAATAGATACTACAATTTTGACAGTAATCAATACCAAAATTTTGGCAATAATAAATACTAAAATTTGGCAGTAATCAATACCAAAATTTTGGCAATAATAAATACCAAAATTTTGGCAGTAATAAATACCAAGATTTATATCCATGACAAAGGTATATAAAATCTTTCATCCATAAAATTAGATTTGAAAGCTCTAATATTTATTTAGAACGAACATAAATCCCAAAATTAAATAGAGCAATATAACAAGTGTTTAAATAACGAAGATGTATTCTCCTATAAACGTTATTCAATGTTACGTATTCCTCCAGAAATATTTGTTTCTCCTACCTTGCTATGTACCTCATCCTGTACACTCGCCTGACCATAGAGGAAAAGCGGAAAAGAAGGGTGACAAATTCAAATAGCCCCCAACCCCCGCGTTAACGCGTTCCTATCACACGATTCTGCCATTTCCCTCGGCTAAAAGATCCGAGTGTTTTTCGAGCGTATGAAAATTAACGCGTTATTAGAGTTGCAAATGGCGCGCAATTTGAAGAGGTTCATTTAATATTCAACCGCGTGATACAGAGGCGCGATAGGGTGCAAACGCGGGAGGATGGCGGGACAATTTAAAGTACAAAGGGCGCCACCCCCGGCCCGCTCGGCAAAGGAACGGAATTCAGGCTCGAAATTCAAAAGCGACGCGGCAATCCTGACCGGCCGTAATTTATCCCTTTGTGCCTGGATTTGTTTCCAATGAAGACGCATTGTGCAAAAACGCACAATACCCGGCAACTTTTCGTTCCGTATGGTAATTAGCCCCGGCGATTCACTGCGGGGTCCGTCTTAAAAATTCATTATACATTGGCATGACTTCGGGAAACGTTCTACCCTACCGTATTCCGCTCGCTGCCTTTCCTTCATTTATTCACGTTTCTTCCTACTTTCCTCGCCAGGACGTTTTATGTAAATCGTGCGCGATGTATAAAAGATACAAAGGATCGCAGTGACGAGGAGTTATCGGTAAATGGTTACGAATAAGAGCGTTTGAAACCAGGCTCCCCGCCGTATGGTCCACGGCTTAATCCACGATCCGAGTTAACTTGTAACGTAGAAAAATACTTCGCGATCCGTGACGAATCCGATTCGCGAAGATGAAAAATGAAGAAAATCCGGACAGAATTCCGCGGGGAAGGAACGTAGAGCCCGCGGGAGCAGGGAAAAGGGAAGGAGGAAGTAAAGAGGGGGAATGAAAAATAAAATGGGAGAAAAAAATAATAAGAATGAAAAAATGAAAAATGGAAAAGGAGAAATATAATACCCTGATGGCGTATCCGGTGGAATAGTTGAAAACGCGCGTGTAGCACTCGCGAGGGGTGGCCAAGGGAGGTTTAAAGTTCTTCCGCGGCCGCTAGAACGTAATATTCTCTCTGCTCGGGATTTATGCCGCAGTGGTGGCGTGCACGGTGGGAGAAATTGTGGCGTGGGTCGGCCACGGGGGTTGGAGGCGGCTCGCAGCCTCTGTCGACCACGCCAGGAGGGTTGGTCGTAGATTATAAACGGTCGTTTTGTTGCGTTGTTAGCAGATGTCTGACGCGAGTACAGCGCGCGGAGATAGAACGAGTGGCAGAGAGGGTGTCTTTGGGGTGGGTCGGTCACTAATTAAGTTTTTCACGCAGAAATTCGTGGGGCAGGCCTGGCTGGAATTCCTGGCGGCGCGACTCGATGAAAAATCGACGAAAATGGCTAGCTGTTTTGCCGCCCGCGACACGATATCGTCGACGTACAACGCTAGCCACCCCAACCATGTTAAATGCGGATAATTAAAATCACTCCCCTTATGTAAACTCGTGGTTTTTATGGAAATTAAGAGATAGTGCGTTTCTTACGGCGGGATCATTAGTCGCTGGCGATTATAGGGATGAAAACAGGCTCCAACGACGGTGAGATATCTTGCAATGATGGATATTATTTTTACAAAATAATCTTGACAGGATGCTGTCAAAATTTAAATTACTCCGAAAGAGGGAATTGTGTTGGAACGCTAAAGACATAAGTCGAGACATCTTACATATGACGTCGATGTTAAAATGTTTTTGATTATTACATACTGATGTATGATTGCGTACGTGTTGGTCGCCAGCCAAATTCCTTCGTTCAAACGAATCAGTCTCTAAGCAATCTTTATACAGCACACACCGATCGAGTTGCCAATTATTAAAGCGTTCCCTCTTTATAATTAGTGTTCCTCCCTTTTTAATTCCACTGCCATACTAAATTCTATCAAATTGAGTAGGATCGTTACCGATTTAGCATACTAATCGCGATTACAGAAATTTCTTTAAATGTAACGTGTGCGTGTGGATGTGTGTATGCGTGTGTTCACGTCTAGAATGAGTCACCGATTGTCTAACGAGTTCTCAGTCATTGTATAGCAGTCATCGTGTAATAATCGTCATTGTAAGAGCAATTATAAAGTTTACAAATATAATAGGCTGATTACATTGCTTATTCCTGCAGTACTTGATCCTCATCGATACTAAAGATCCAACAAACTTTGATTTCTTTAATTTCTTTGATTTCTTTATAATAGAAATTTTATTCCTTGCCAGATTTTGCGTGGACAGTTGGAGTATAATTTTAATGATAATTCATGTGCTCTGTTCATTAGTGGGAAGATCGTCGGGTATTGGCACAAAATGGTACAGAATTTGGTAAATTGGACACAGGAATTACTTAATGTAAGTCTGTTGTATCCAATTCTCGTTCTAAATGCACCGGTACCTGGCACTGGTACCTCAGGAGGTATGCAAATTAGCGACTAAACACTGCGTCGATTTGCAACTGCGATTGATACGAAGGACCAAGAGTTGACCTAGTCTTACCTAAATAGCCACATAGACATGCATTTAGTTTACACCGATGGTGACCCTCCGATTATCCTTGCTTTGCTAAATTGCCACACGAAATGCTTCCTACTAATGCGTTTTATCATACACGCCTCGGTGATTCAACGTGTCACCAACACTGCAAAATTCAGTCAAAGATGAAAATTACTCTGGTCCTGTCAATTGATATTCGAAATTGACCGTAGCTTTACTTTTGATTAGGGTAATACCAAAATCATGGA